GTCTGATAATGGCAATTTTTTTTTTTTACAAGGGGGGTAATTTTTTTTTTTTAAAACTTATGAAATATTTTTTTTTTTTTGAAATCTATATTGTTTTTTTTTTTCTAATTGTATATCGTTTTTTTTTTTTATTAGACGTTGAATTTTTTTTTTTTTCCATTCATCAAATTGTTTTTTTTTTTGAGCAAGAATAAGTCTTTTTTTTTTTTTACATGTCTAATGTTTTTTTTTTTTACGATCATGTAATTTTTTTTTTTTTTGTCTATCATAATTTGTTTTTTTTTTTTATCAAAAATTCATATTTTTTTTTTTAATCCAACATTAACATTTTTTTTTTTAAGGTCGAAATCCGTTTTTTTTTTTTCATTTCTTTAGTTAATTTTTTTTTTTAAATGACATTTTGTTTTTTTTTTTTTCTTTTGTGCAGTGCGTTTTTTTTTTTTTTTGTGTTATTGTCTTTTTTTTTTTTTTTGACTTTCATATTTTTTTTTTTTAAAACTGCAACCATGTTTTTTTTTTTTTTCTTGCTATAATCTTTTTTTTTTTTAAGAAATTTGTATCTTTTTTTTTTTGAAAGCAATCTACAGTTTTTTTTTTTAGTATGGTTTTAAGCTTTTTTTTTTTGTATCGAACTCGGCGTTTTTTTTTTTTAACAGTGATCAGTCTTTTTTTTTTTATTCCTGTTTCTGTTTTTTTTTTTTTACTGACCATCTTGTTTTTTTTTTTTTACTATTTCTTTGCTGTTTTTTTTTTTATATAACATTTGATCTTTTTTTTTTTCCAAGTAAAATAAGATTTTTTTTTTTGGGTATCGATTTTCATTTTTTTTTTTGCTCAATTGATAATTTTTTTTTTTTTATCTATGAGACATATTTTTTTTTTTTAGCGAACCGTACTGGTTTTTTTTTTTACAGCAAATCACGCCTTTTTTTTTTTAATTTGTTTGCTCATTTTTTTTTTTTATGCARTGAATGGGATTTTTTTTTTTTTGAGTATTGTTTTATTTTTTTTTTTTGACACTAAGGGTTATTTTTTTTTTTATAAAAATTAAAATATTTTTTTTTTTTCTGTGACCCATATTTTTTTTTTTTTAATCGCACAAAATCCTTTTTTTTTTTAGTGACTTTTCTACATTTTTTTTTTTTAAAATTGCACAAAGTTTTTTTTTTTTACGACGACTTCAGTTTTTTTTTTTTCAGTCCTATAAGTATTTTTTTTTTTTATTCATAGAGGGAAATTTTTTTTTTTTAGTGCTCCAAGGACTTTTTTTTTTTGGCCTGGCCTATCCTTTTTTTTTTTTCTTTCAACTGGTRCCTTTTTTTTTTTATATATAGGGGGAACTTTTTTTTTTTAGARATCGGGGGTATTTTTTTTTTTTAAGCCTTAGGGTAGCTTTTTTTTTTTGATTGGATTTTATAATTTTTTTTTTTAAGAGTGGGAACCACTTTTTTTTTTTCATGTAAACTACCCTTTTTTTTTTTTGTCTAGGACAGTATGTTTTTTTTTTTTAAAAAGGACATTGTTTTTTTTTTTTAAAACCTACGATAAATTTTTTTTTTTCGGATTTGATCATTATTTTTTTTTTTGAAAGATCTATTTTTTTTTTTTTTTTCATTTTTCAATAGTTTTTTTTTTTTTAAGCTTAACTAATTTTTTTTTTTTTTAATTAAAGTGTTAATTTTTTTTTTTTTTGATAACAGCTGTATTTTTTTTTTTGCCATTACTGTTATTTTTTTTTTTTTATCAATGCTGATAAATTTTTTTTTTTAAAGATTGAAAGAATTTTTTTTTTTTTGTTATGACT